ACACACACACTATTCAGCCATAAAGAATAAAATTACATAATTTGGAAAATGAAAAAAGGAACTGGATGGAGGTAGATTATCCTATTAAGTAAAATAGAGCAGATTACATAGGCACAGTAGGGCATGCCAGCTACACAAGGGCTGGAGATGGAAGAATCATAGCTTGAGGCCAATGTAGTGCCTCTCAAGGTATAGGGCAAAACCTTACACCTCAAAAACAAGCTACCCAAGGTGGCTTATGTTTCTAATCCCAGCTATGTGGGGACCAAAGGTAATAGAATCAGGGACTGAGGACAGGTATGTGCAAAGACAGACCCTATATGAAAAATAAAGCAAAAAATAGTAGAGCACTTGCCTAGCAAGCAGTAGACCCTGAGTTCAAACCCAATACCATCACAAACAAAAAAACCAGATTCAGACAAGTACTGCATTTTTTAATGTGGAATCTACATCTAAAAGAATAAAAGAAGGGGGCTGGGAAGGTGGCTCTGTGGTAGTGTGCTTGCTTTGCATGCATGAGGCCCTGGGTTCGATTCCTCAGCACCACATAAGCAAAAAGAAAAAAGCCTTTACAGTGTCTCTTTTAAACTTTCTCTCATTTACACTTAGGTAAAAAAACAAAACAATACAATATCCTTCCAAACCAAAATACTAAGGGAAGAAATTTAGCACATTTTACCAACTTATACTAGGTAGCAAAAATAATGGCCTCATCTATAAATAAATTTAAATTTTAACTCTCCATAAAAAGCAAGGCTTCCTTAATATTCAGGTTCAGCATCCCTAATATACTCAACACTTGACTCAAATATATAAAAAGGGTATGCTAGGGCACAGGTGGTGGCTAACCAGTAATCGTAGTACCTAATACCTAGTACCTAGTGGCCTATAATCCTAGCTACTCAGAAGGCTGAGATCTGAGGATCACAATTCAAAGACAGTCAGGGCAGAAAAGTCTATTAGACTATTCAGAAAAGGCCAGAAGTTGTGCTGAGACTCTAGTTGTAGAATGCTAGCCTTGAGCACAGGGAGGCGCAGGGATAACGCCCAAGCTCTGAGTTCAAGCCCCAAGACCAGTCAAAAAGAAAAATGACACGAGCCAAGCACTGATGGCTCAGGCCTGTAAGTTCACGCCTCAGGATAAGCACCAAAAAAAAAAAAAAAAAAAGATAAACTGGGCACCAGTGGCTTACACCTGTAATCCTAGCTACTAAGGAGGCTGAGATCTGAGGATGGCAGTTCAAAGCCAGCCTGGGCAGGAAAGTCTGTGAGAATCTTATCTCCAATAAGCCACTAGAAAATGAAAGTGGCGCTGTGGCTCAAGTGGTAGAGCACTTTACAGGATATGAGAGGTAACCTTTGTTTTCTCCAAGTATCAGGTTTGATCTCATGCTTGCTAGGTAAGTGCTATACCACTTTCATTTGAACCAAGACCCCAGCCCTTCTTTCTTTAGTTATTTTGATGATAGAGTCCTCATATTTTTGTGCCCAGACTCTATTTATGCTTGTGGGATGGTAGGCCCGTGCCACCAAGTACTGTTGGTTAAGATGGCATGGCGTCTTGCTAACTTCTGGCTCTATGTTTTGCTGGTTATTTTGGCCTCCTCATCTCTGCCTCCTGAGTAGCTGGGATTTTTAGCTTGAGCCATCACTCAACTCCCAGACTAACATTATAAACTCATATAACACTCATATGTCACCAATCAAAGGACTATATCAGAATCTTTTTTGAGGAAAAAACCCAGCAGTTTGAAAGCTACATAAGATACTTAATTTTAAATTCAAGGCCCCATGGCAATGTTACTGGTTTACTAAAGCTTACTATACTAGGTAATATTATTTATAAGCATACTTTCCCTTTCTATTTAAATTTTTATGTCCTGAAGGCACAAATGACTTCATCCTAAGGTTTAGATGGGCTAGTAATCAATCTGAGCTCCATTTCTTCACTTAAAAATAGCTGCTAGGGACCGGGAATGTGCCCTTAGTGGTGGGAGTGCTTGCCTCCAAATGCATGAAGGCCTGGGTTTGATGCCTCAGTACCACAGAAAAAGCCAGAAATGGCACTGTGGCCCAAGTGGTAGAACACTGGCCTTGAGCAAAAGAAGCTCAGAGACAGTGCCCAGGCCCAGGACGGGGAGTGAGGGGAGGAACCTGGGAAGCATGTCAGCTGGCAGCAATGGCACACATCTGTAATCATAGCGACTCAGGAGGCAGGAAAGTCCAAGTCAGGAAAGTCCTTGAGATTATTATCTAATTAACCACCAAAAAGCCTGAAGTGGAGCTGTGTCTCAAGTCTTAGAGTGCCTCAGAGACAACAAAGTTCAAGCTACAGGACCATCACAAAAAAAAAAAAAAACCCACACTACAGTGCTTAGCTTTTGTTGTTGTTGTTTGGTTGGTTGGTTTTTGGTTGTGGGTACTCAGGTCCTGAGTACTGTCTTTAAGCTTTTATCCTCAAGACCAGCACTCTACTACTTTAAGCCACAGCACCAATTCCGGTTTTCTGGTGGTTAACTGGACTTTACTGTTTGGGATGACTTTGAACTGGGATCCTCCTGAGTAGCCAACGGCACCTGGCTTTGCACTTGTTTTTAGGTAGTATCTTGCTATTATATACCCCAGGTTGGCCTCACTCATGATCCTACTTTTTCTCCAGTATTGGGGATACAGTTATATGCCACCATGACTAGCATGGTCTTTATCTGAGTCATCTTTGTCTGATTCCCTATAGCCACTGTTCTTAACTGCCCTTACTATTTAACACTTCTAATTTTATCCTATGTACTCTTTGTAAATAGGCAATTTTTTAAAAACATCATCACCTACCATGGTTTTCTGTAGTACTTGAGCTTCTTTTTCCGGTCCTTTCCTCTCTTTCTGGTCTTCTTCACTAGACACTGTTTTGTGTGACAGTACTTCCTCATAAGCCTGAGTCCCCTGACAGCTCAGTGTCAAATATAGCAAAGATGCTTGAAGAGTTGTTCTCTGAAATACACCTGCAAGAGAAGAGGGAAAGAATACTTTTCAACTTATGTATAATTAGCTTAAAATGTGTATAGAGTCCATAAACATGCTAATAATGAGCCAAGCACTCATTCCTATAATCCTACTTACTCAGGTGACTGAGAAAGAAGGATCATGATTCAAAGACAGCCTGGACAGGAAAGTTCATAAGACCCATATCCAATTAAACAAAAAGCCAGAAATGGAGCTGTGGCTCAAGAAAGAGTGCCAGTCTTGACTAAGAAATCTAGTGGACAGCACTCAGACCCTGAGTTCAAACCCTAGGACCGGCACAAAAAAATGAAGTGTCTTATTGATGTAAAAAGTATCCATCGCATCTTTTTATCTAATTCCAGGAAAGTCATCATCCCAATGGCTTCAGGGAGCTTTTGGCCCTTCCTGCATATGCATAAATTCCATTATTTATTTCATTTACTGCAGCTACCTTGGAATGACCTCTCAAAGCTTTTTCTATTCCTTCAGGATATTTATTCCACTGACACACACTGTATTTATTGTGTAAGTCTTACAATTTTAATAATTATATATATGACCCTTCTAAAATTCGACCACTTACTCCCTGGTATTCCTTTCCTACAATGCTCTTACCTTTTTCCTATTTTAGATACATCCTCACTACCAGAATTTATAATCTGCTATGGCTCCCAGGTTTTTACAGTCCTCTCTTTTCATATCTTCACTTCTGTTCTTATCCATAACCAGCAATTCTTATTGTTATCCTCTACTAGCTAAACCTCAATCCCAAATTAAACCCAACTCTGGTTATAACCACATCAGTAATCTTGAATAACTGAATGTGGATATCAAGAGGGGAAAAAAATATAAAATCATGTTATAATACTTTTAATTATCAGTAACCCCCAAATAATAATAATAATTCCAACAGTATTGGACCCCAAGGAAAATGTGAAAATATAGGAGGTTTTTGGTAGTCACAATGAATTAGGTAGCTAATCTTGGTGTCTGGATTTCCAGCTTCCCTGGCAGTTATCAGCAAATATGGGATAGTAAATCTGCTGTCAATGTTCTAGAACTACTCCAGTTAAAACACAAACAAGAACCTCCAATTAAAAAAATAAATATTCAGAAACTTTTTCACTCTCTTAATGATTACTTCACTGCTTCTCTTCCATGTCCTCACATTCCACTGGTCACTCTAATTCCTATTTCATGCAACATGTCAACACTGCTTCATCTTTACTAATGTATTTTTCCTTCCTTCCTGCTATTAAGAAGGAATTTGTCAGCTGGGAGCCAGTGGCTCATGCCTATAATCCTAGCTACTCAGGAAGCTGAGATCTGAGGATCATGGGTAGAAGCCAAGCAGGGCAGAAAAATCCAGGAGACTCTTTTCTCCAATAAACTACTCAAAAAAGCTGGAAGTAGCCGGGAGCTGGTGGCTCACACCTATAATCCTAGCTACTCAGGAGGCTGAGATCTGAGGATCGAGGTTCTAAGTCAAAGCCAACCCTGGGGAGGAAAGTCCGTGAGACTCTTATCTCCAATAAACCACTAAAAACCAGAAGTGGCACTGTGGCTCAAGTGGTAGAGTGCTTGCCTTGAGCTAAAGAGCACAGGGACAGGGCCCAGGTCCAGAGTTCAAGCCCCATGATGGACAAAAAAAAAAAAAAAAAGCTGGAAGTGGTGCTGTGGGTCAAGTGGTAGAGTGCTAGCTTTGAGCACAAAGATGTCTCAGGGACAATGCCCAAACCCCCGAGTTAAAGCCGCAAGACAGACAAAATAAAAAATAAAAAAAATAAAATAAAGAATCGCTCATTGTCAGGCACCAGTGGCTCATGCCTGTGGATCCTAGCTACTTAGGAGGCTGAGATCTGAGGATCACAATTCAAAGCCAGCCTGGGCAGAAAAGTCCATGAGACTTTTATCTCCAATTAACCACGAGAAAACTGGAAGCAGCACTGTACCTCAAAGTGGTAGAGCACTAGCCATGAGCGGAAAAGCTGAGGGACAGCACCCAGGCCCTCAGTTCAAGTCCCACAAATGAAAAAAAAAACATTTTTTTTTTTAAAGAATGAATTCTCTCTAGGCAAGGAAGAGGGGGCAAACTAGAGGAAAGTGAAGGAACCGGTGATTGTTGTCAAAGAAAAAAAATGTACTTGCCTTATGAAATGGTAACCCCAACACCTTAATAACAACACTAAAGTTATATCTTTTTAAAAAAGAATAAGTGTCTGCAACTGGGGGATAAGATCTAAGGATCACAGTTCAAAGCCAGGAAAAGTCATATCTCAATAAATTAAAAATGCTAGAAGAGCTGTGGCTCAAGTAGTAGAATGTTAGCCTTGAGCAGAATAAGCTCAGGGACAGCACCCAGGCCCTGAGTTCAAGCCCAAGGAATAGCGCATGCACACACACACACACACACACACACACACACACACACGCACGCACGCACGCACACACGCACGCATGCACGCGAGAATAAATCATCCCTATTTCTACCTAAAACAAATCCCTGAACTCAAACCATACTAGATCCTATTCCTTTTTGCACACTCAAGCATTTGCCTTCAGCATCGTCAGTTTTCTCCCTCTTCTGCATCTTATAATAGCACCCATCTTTAAAGAAAAGAATGTAAAATATTACTTGACCTCTTGCTTCACAGTAGATACAAGCTCTGCTCCCTTGCAGGGCACAATTCTTTTTGTTTCCATTTCCTCTCTTTCCATATTCTCTTACATCTACCCCAATCAGCCCTCTCACCCCAAAGCTCCATGGAAACAGTGTTTGTCAAGGCCTTATAGGATTTCCATGGTATTTAGTGCTGGGAATGATTCTCAGTCTTCCTCTTCGTTGACCTCTCAATTCAGCAACGGGTGAAAGTAGATGCTTCCAGACTGCACTTTACTTCCCCTGACTTCCACACAAGACACCACTCTTTATTCTCTACTTTATAAATTACTCCACTGTCTCCTTTAACTCCTAAGTTCAGTAATGCCTCAATCTCTAGACTTCATCTCTTTACCATTGTACCCATCCTCCCATACCAATTCCTTTAAGAATATTATCAATACCTTTACTTGACTTATATAACTGTAACCCCTATGTACATCACCTTGATAATTTTTAAAACTAAAAATAAATACCATCAATATGCTGAAGATGCCTCTATTATTATCTACTGAAGTTCCAGACTCAAACTCAAATACATTATCAACATATAAACCTGAGTGTCTAGAAAATATCTTCAACTTAACGTCTCTTCAATCAACTCCTGACATACACCCCCTAACACACATACATATACACACACACAGCTTTGTTCTTCTTAGTCTTTCCTCTCAAGAGAAGGCAAATTACTTCATCCCTCCACTGTTCATGTTAAAAACAGTGTTAACCTTGACACTTCTTTTCCTCTCACACTCCAGACATCTGATCCATCATCACATCCTTTCATCTTTACCTTGTAACTCTACCTAAAATCTGACCAATCTTATCCTTCATTGTAATGCCCTGGTCTAAGCTACCAACATTATTCACTTGAATCATACCAGTGGTTCCAACTAGTTATCTTCCTTCCCCACACAAAGGGTTTGGGCTTTTGTTGTTGTTGTTGCTTCTTTTTTCCCTCAACAACAGTATCCAAGATGTTTCAACTAGGTCAGCTCTGAGTATTTCATAATAAAGCCCTAAAAATCTGATTTCACTAACTTCTTGGGTTCTTACCCCATGTACTGTCCTCCTCACTCACCATGTTCCACCCATACTGGTATCCTTGCTAAATAAGGCTTCAACCCTAGGCCCTCTACACTTGCTAGTTTACTGCTATCCACCTCCTTCCTTCACTTTTCAAGGTATGTACTCAAATGTCACCATATCATGAGCTCATTCCTGATCATTGTATTTAAAATAGCAGTATACACACATACACAAGAAATTCATCCCAAAGCCCATCTGTTCTATTACTCTCCAAAGGATTTATCACTGGTACATGATAGCTCTGCTTTGTTTACTTTCGGTATGATACACCTAGAACAGAAACTGGTACAAAGGAGAAACCTGAATCCCTTAGCTGGGTACTGGCGGCTCACAACTTTAATCCTAGCTATTTAGGAGGCTGAGATCTGAGGATCACAGTTCAAAGCCAGCCATGTCAGGAAAATCTGTGAGACTCTTTATCTCCAATTAAACTACCAAAAAAGCCAGAAGTAGAGCTGTGGCTCAAAAGGTAGAAGGATAGTATAAAAGCTCAAGGACAGCGCTAAGATCCTGAGTTCAAGCCCCAGAACACACACAAACACATACACAAAATACTTTTCATACAGCACTGCAGTCAATGCTGCCTGAGAAGTAGTGAAAATAAAACAGATGTATAAATTCATTGTATGAAATTATTTGTCTATAATCATACAAAGTGAGGTATTGGCAGAGACAACCCAGGAACTAGGGTCTCCAACAACTTTTTAATTCACATCACTGTCTTTCTACAGAGTGATCGTTAAAAGTTCCACTTGACATCTATTGCTTTAAACCATGAACAAACATGGAATAGCACCAAAACTATACATACCAAAGTAGCTATTTTCTTCTAAAAGGCTGTGATAGAGGTTATTAGATTGTCTTTAGAATTTACAGATCTTGTAACAATTCTGACCAAAAGGAAATAAGGGCAATGTACCAAGAAACAGTTAAATATTCGCATACTCTGTCCTCCTGCATCCACTGCAGCACACTTAACCCTAAAAGATTAACTGGTCCTGCTTGGTAAACAACTTTCCAGGACTTTGATTCCAAAAAGAGTACCTGTTGCAGGGCTGGGAAGGTGACTCAGTAAGTAGAGTGCCTGCTTTGCATGCATGAGGCCCTGGGTTCAATTCCTCAGCACCACATAAGCAGAAAAAGCCAGAAGTGGCACTGTGGCTCAAGTGGTAGAATGCTAGCCTTGAGCTGAAGAGCTGAGGGACAGAGCCAGGCCCAGAGTTCAGGCCCCTAACCACCACAAAAAAAAAA